AAGAAAATGTTTTGCGAATGATGAGGGAAACAAATACACAAATGTGCTTGACACAATGGATGAATGGATGAATGGATGGATTATGATAAGAGTTGTACGAGCCCCCAATAAAATGATTTAAAAAGGAAAAAAAAGTTCCCTTACTTAAAAATGTTTAGAATACAATCATGCTAATGATATACTACAATATTCCATTATGAAGGGTATACAAAAATTTCATGTAAAATACATGGATTTCTTTTTTTATAATACCAAAACAAACAAACTTGCTTTAAGATGTCTGAACAGGATCTAGTTTGAGAATAAGACATTAGTTTGAAAAATGGCCCCATCAGGGGGGAAAAAAAAAGACGTATCGTGTATACTCATGTATAAGCTGAGTTTTTCAGCACATTTTTTATGCAACTTTTGTGGTAAAATGAGATGCCTTGGCTAATATTCAGGTCAGCTTATACTTGAGTATATATGGGCTATTCTCCTAAATTGAAGCCAAAACATCAACTTTATGGTGACGCTTGTGTAGAAGTATGGGAAGATCATTGATATCTCATGGAAAGCTGAGGGGATTCTGTCCCAAGGAAATCTGCTGTTTACTAGGGGATAACTTGTTTTAACACAGGGTAAGATAATGCTGAAAATAAAGCCTGCAGAGGCAGACCATTTACATCAGTTTGTGAGGAAAAAAATAAGTCAGCTCATGCCAACTAAAGAGGACTAATTAACAGCAGAAACAACGCCCTAAACATCTCGGGTCCAGCTGACACAATTCTGACTGAAAAGTTGAGCAAACTTTCTGTTCAGTGAGTGACAAATATCAGCTCAGACAAGAGCAAAGCTTTCCATGAAAATGTTCAACAAGTGCGATCAAGATCCTGAAGGATTCCCTCAGAGGACTGTAACTGAAGATGAAGTATGGCTTTACAAATGCATTGCAGGAGACAAAACAAAAGCAAAGCAATGGTTACCAAGAGATGAAAGTGGCCAAGTCAAAGCAAAAGCAGTCTAGTCAGGAGCAAAAGCCGTGACAACAGATTTTTGGGATGCACAAGTTATTTTGGTGTTTGACTTTCTGGGAGGCAAAAAAATGCTAACACCTGATAAGGAGAGTACGTTGAGAACGCTTTAACACAGAAATGTCAGAGAAAAGTTTCACCAGAAGAGTCCTTCTCCATGATAATAATCCTGTTCATTCCTTTAATTTAATCAACAAGGGCAATTTTCCAAGAGATCCTATGGGAAATCAGTAGGTATCTACTTTAAAGTCCTGATGTGGCTGTTTCAATTTTTTGCTTCTTAATCTTACAGTACCTTTAAAGGGCACCTCCTTTTCTTCAATTACTAATATAAAAGAGACTGCACTGGCACAGTTAAATTACAGGAGTCTCAGTTCTTTGGAGCTGGAATAATGTTGGTATCACCTACAAACGTCTCTTAAAGCTGATGGAATACTGAGAAATAGTCTGTATTTTTAATTTTTATCTTTTAATTCCATTTTCCACAACCTTTTGAAATATCCTCATATTCCATTAAAAGTGTAAATTACAAATAGTTTCTAACATTTAAAGAACATTTTTAATGTTAAGTACCTGAAACTTTCTTCTTCGTTATCACTTTGCAAAAGATCATCATTTAGCTCTTCATCTGACAAGTCCGACTGGTTCTAATTTTTAAAGACATCAAATTAAATGCAAGTTACTTCCATAAACGGTTCTTACAATTAGTGCAAAATTACAATGATTACAGATTATTTCAAATGTTATTTATTAAAATATTTACCACTCATAAAGCTTTGTCAGTTAAGGAGCCCTTGTGGCATAGCTGGTTAAGCACTGGGCCACTAACTACAAAATCACTGGTTCAAACCCACCAACTATCCCACACAAAAACGATGAAGGTGTCTACCCCAGTATAGATTTGTAAGCTCATAAAGCCTAAAAGAACAGTTCTATTTTGTCCTGTGGGGTCCTTATGAGTCACAATCAACTTAATGGCTATTGGTTGGTTTGGGTTTTGGAGAGTAGAGAGGTTCTGTGTATATGATTTATCTAGATCTCGATATAAATAAAACATACTATATATGTACACATATAAATTAATCCACATACACATACACTTTCTAGTTCATTAAAGAATAAAACATTCGTGTGTGTGTGTGTGTGTGTGTGCGTGCGTGCGTGTGTGTGTGTGTGTGTGTGTGTGTGTGTGTGTAGAAAATATGTTATCTGGCACCTTAAGTGAAAACAAGAAAAGAGGAAAATCTAGTTAAATTTTCCATTTAACAAATGAAGCAAACTTTTCCTAGCATCTTATATCTTTATAAAAACAGGTTTCGGAGCTGATTCCAGGAACCCAAGTGGAAAACGAGTTTTGAGAATGATGAGGGCAACGAATGCATAGGTGTGCTTTACACAATTGATGTATGTATGGATTGTGATAAGAGTTGTTTGAGCCCCAATAAAATGATGCAAAAAAAACAAACAAACAGGTTTCTCAAATTTTTCTGTATACTCTTCATTATAGTATTTTAGGTAACAAATCGAGAAATAATAGAATCACTGTCTCTACTAGGTCACTAACACAATGATACAAAAATAAACCTGTAGTCATGTAGTCAAGTTTATTTGAAGAAAGGAGCTAGTTATGCAGGAAAATTTGAGCACCTAATTGGTAATCCAAACGGGGTCCATTTTGAGAGGGAAAGGAGATGATATAGTACCATGAACAAGACCTGGTGCAAACCAAGCCTGTGCTGAGCAAATCAAACAAAGCTTAGCTGTCCAACTGAAGAGCCAGTGATATCCAAGATATAGCCAATGAAATAAAATCTCATAATTTTGGTTAACATTTAAAATTTATTATTTAAAAAACTAGCAGTTTCATGAAAGCTGTATTTTATCCGATGAAAATTTACTTCAAGAGTATTTAGTTATCAGCAGGTAAAACAAAACCAGGAGCGAACTGTGGACCAGACCATCAACTGCTCATATGTTAAGTTTAGGTTGAAGCTGTGGAATATTAAAACAATTTCACAAGAGCCAAAATATGACCTTAAGTCTAGCCCACCTGAATTTTGAAAATATCTCAAGTAAAAATTTGCTGGACTAAACATTCATGACAGAAGACCTAATGAGCTATGGGATGACATCAACAGCATTTTTAATGATGAAGAGACCCTAATGAGATTTAGACAAGGGTATTAATGAAGTACTTGTCTTCAGCTATCCACTAATCGCAGAGACATATTTAAACATGTTTTGTATGGAATAAACTCACACGTATGAACTGAAGGGGGGTGGGATTTTTAGTTAAACTTTTAAGTATTTGACAAAAATCAGTGGATCAATAATTCTCTTTAAAACACAAACATCACACACCCCTCTCTCAACCTGCAAAAATGAACTTCATGCTAGGCCTGGTGATACTTAGATCTCATTTTGAGTTCTGATAATTCAACCTTTCTCCTCTGAGCCAACCCAGTAACAGACACAGGAGGCAGTGCCAGAATACCTTCTTTACGACAAAATGGCCTGGAAAGCTAGACTGAATCCTTGAGGCTGAAAAATGGTTTTCAACTACATCCTAATAAACTGGAGTAGATCATTACCTTAGGCAAGGGAAGGATATGTAGGGGATTCTACCTCAACGCGAAGGTCTTGAAAGTAGGTATGGAGGTATGCCCAGCCTGTGGACTATATAAGGTCTAAGAAATTATCAATACCAGTGAACATTACACACCTCGACAAAGAGAAGTCGTTTTAACCATCATATAAGGTGTGAATTAAATGAGATGGGACTAAGACCTGACCTGAATTGAGTATGAATTGAGTACCCTTTGTTTCCTTGACGACATCTTTAAGAGTCCACCTTAGGATTAGGAGTGAATCAGGCTACATTTTTGTCTTCTTTAGATACAAGAGGGGGTCCAAAAACACCCAAAAAAACTTAGGATCAGGCATGAATCAGGCTACATTCTTTGTCTTCTTTAGATACGAGGGCTCCCCCCCAAAAAAAAAGAAAAACAACAAACAAACAAACCCGGAAGCGAATTGCACTAGGTGGAGCTATTGTAGCAGACATTTTGACTACTACACCCAGTGGCATTGCCTGGGAAGGTTCTCTCTGGTCAGTGAATTTTTTGTAAAAGCAGGTTCATTGAACCTCGTTTTTTTGTGATGGCTGATTTAAGAGACCAGCATGCAGCTTTGAAATTTGTTTTCTGCCCAGGAAAAAATGCCAGAGAAACTGTCATGATGTTGAATACAGCTTACAAGGGCAGCACTATGGGAAAAACTCAAGTGGACGAGAGGTTTCCTCATTTCAAAAAAGGTGCAATGTCGATTGACTACAACTTCCTAAAGGGACGAAAATGTCAACCGGTAGTGCTTTGGAGTTCATTCCACCAGGTCAATGTTAATCAAGCTTTCTGTTAAGAGTGTGTGACAAAAAAGGCCTGATTTGTGGCAGACAGGGAACTGGTTTTGCCACCACAATGCACCTGTTCACACAGCCATCTCAGTGCACCCCTTTTGGTCAAAAACAGCATGCCTCTTGCCCCACACACCTGATTCACCTTGACCTTGCTCTGTGTGACTTTTTTGTTTCTGTGAATGAGGAGGGACTTGAAAGGGCAGCGATTTAACAAATAGAAGGTGTGAAGGAAAAAAACACAAGAGAGGTACTGTTAGCCATTCAAACAGATGAGTTTGAAAATGTTTCCAAGAATGGAATCATAGATTTGACAAATGTATTAAGTGTAATGGATAGTACTTTGTAGGTGATAAGGTTATTTTGTATAAAAATTTAAATACATAGCTTTGGAAAAAAATTCTGGGTTGTTTTTTGTTGTTTTTTTTGGGGGGGGGTGTACTCCTCCTCGTATATAATGATGCTGCCATACAATTCCACACATTCATCATCTCACCTAGAAAACCAAACTTCTACCTGCTAACTAACTAAGCTTCAGTAGAAACAAGAAGATGCACTGCGGCTTTGGGACTCTTTAGGACTCTGGCTCTGGACCCTGAATTTGGTTTGCCTCTGGCTGAGCCTCGGGTTTTGGACTGAACAGCATTTCCTCCATGTTTTGTGGGTTTCTGTGGGACGTTGCAGCAAATTGCAGAAGCCAGGGACATGAGGAAATACACTCAAGAGAAATAAGGGGGAAATGTAGAAAAGTCTTAAGTGGAAAGAGTAGGACATCTGGAAGAGCTTCAATCTCCAACTCTTTGGAACTTGTCTGGCACTAATTCTCACAACAGGACATATTACCGCACAGGGGACCCAGTGTTGCAGAACAGGATGCACTCCCTAAGCTTTTCAAGGCTGAAACCTTTTCATAGTAGAGCCCCTAGGTGGGTCTGACAGTGGAACATTAACTAAAAATTTGTTGCCACAAGTCAAAACCAACTGGGCAAGTGATTTGGGTTTTTAATGGAGCTCGAAAATGGCTTTCCAATTTCGTGTAACACTGGCAACCTATGAGACAAAGAATGACTTGGTGCAACAGTTGCTGCAGAAATTAAATACAGAAGTTAAAGCAGGAATTCCAAACTGACAGCCAACTTCCATCAAAATTCAACCCAATTTCTAATGATTCTCACTTGGTTGTATTTAAGAATATCCACTTGGTTGTATTTAAGAATATCCATAGCATGTGTGCTGTGTGTGTGTGTCCTCTCTTGTTCAGCCTGTTTCATACTAAGTTTGCAACCACAGATGCACTCAATTATTTAATATGGCCTTTTGAACCACAATCCCTTTGGTGATGAATTGTCAAATTCAGACTCCTTGCATGTGATTATAAGTGGGATGTTTCTTAGTTGCTACCTTACTAGAGAGTGTGACTTAAGGAGCCCAGGTTGTGTGGTGGGGTCACTGCAGGGTCAGCGGTTCAGCCCACCAGCCACTCTGCAGGAAGAAAAAGGAACCATCTGTTTCAGGAAAACTTCTACTTCTTACCTTTTTGCCAGATAGCAAATCTTCTCCAAGTAAGTCATCTTCAAGTTCACTAGAAATAAAAGAAATATGTCAACATTTTATTACTCATACAACTACAACACAAGAAGGCTTCAAAAGCTTTTGGGGAAAAATCCATTATTCTATGATCTCGCTGAAGACCCCTCATTTATACTGAAAGTTGGAAGGTCATTGGGAAATTTACCAAAAGCTTTATGGTTTGAGTATTCACATGTTTTAAAGTTGCTATGCTTTTTTCTTTAGCAAAATGAAAACATATTTTCAAGTACATAGGGAAATTTTTGGTTGTACATAGAGGGAAGTTTTGTTATAGGAGGTGCTGCACTATATTGATAACACTAGTTTTATACCTTGATATGTATGATATTTTAACTTTTTTGGACCTGTTAAGAAATGAAGAAATTAACATAAGTAACATCTAAGCCGTCTGCCTCTAAAATATGATCAAGATGAAATCTATAAAGCCTTTTTCTGACAAGATATGGAAATAAGAAAACGATCTTAGAAAAAAATTTTCCACACATAATTTTTTAAAAGACAAATGAATTTTAAATGACTAGACCATGAAAGAAGATGGAGAAAACGCATTGCTTCCAAAGTTAGCAAAGGCAAAGGCAAGAAATAGCATAAATAAATGTCTATCAAACACTGAGGCAATGTGATAATCAATAAAGATTGAAATCACAATGGAATAAACAATACTGAAATCAGTTCAAAATGACTCAACGGTCTTTCAAATACCAACAGGGTCACCCACAGTGGCGAGGTATCAGAAGAGCTTCCTGAGTACGAAAAACTAAAAAGGAGATCCTTTTTTTAAAAAGTAACCACTGAAAACCTCATCAACACCGTCTGCTATAACACCAGAAGAAAAGCCTCTTAGGAAAGCAAAAGGTAATTTAAAAGACGGGACAGAAAGGAGTGGGGCACCAAAATAGATGTCAGGAGGGACTCTGAACTTGTTCTTGAATATGAAGTAGCTAAAATGACTAGAAGAAATGATGAAGTAAAGGACAGAACAGACAGGTCTATCTATCTAGATAAGATAGGCTGGATGAACAGTCTGGAGGAGAAAACAAGGGAACGGATGGTTCGGGCAAGGGGGCATTGGAGAGGGGAAGGTGGGGGAAAGGAGGTGATGTTGACCAACCCAGGGACAAGGGAACAAGTGTGAGTTAGTTTATTGTGCCAACCTCATAAACACATGTGGGGTTAATTGAAGGGTAGAAGGATAAATGGCTGTGAGCCTCGC